CCTCTCCCCTTCCTTCCTTCTCCTCCTCCTTCTCTTTCTTCTTCCCCTTTCCCTGTTTCTTCTTCCTCTGTCCTCCCTTCCTCCCTCTCTCTCTTCCCTTCCTCTCCTTCTCTTTCCTTCCTCTCCTTCCTCGTTCTTTCCTTTCTCCCTCTCCCCTTCCTTCCTTCTCCTTCTCTTTCTCCTTCCCCTCTTTCTTCTTCTGTCCTTCCTTCCTCCCCCTTTCTCTTCCGTTCCTTTCCTTCTCTTTCCTTCCTCTCCTTCCTCGTTCTTTCCTTTCTCCCTTTCTCACTCCCCTTCCTTCCTTCTCCTCCTCCTTCTCTTTCTTCTTCCCCTTTCCCTGTTTCTTCTTCCTCTGTGCTCCCTTCCTCCCCCTCTCTCTTCCCTTCCTCTCCTTCTCTTTCCTTCCTTCTCCTTCCACTCCTTCCTCGTTCTTTCCTTTCTCCCCCTCTCCCTCCCCTTCCTTCCTTTTCCTCCTCCTTCTCTTTCTCCTTCCCCTCTTTCTTCTTCTGTCCTTCCTTCCTCCCCCTTTCTCTTCCGTTCCTTCATTTCTTTTTCCTTCTCCTTCCCCTTCCTCACCTTCCTTGGTCCTCTCTTCCCTTCCTCTCCTTCCTCTTCCTCACCTTCCTCCATTCTTCCTTCCTCCCCCTCTGTCTTTCCTTCCTTCCTTGTCCTCCTCCTCTTTCTCCTTCCCCTCTTTCTTCTTCTGTCCTCCCTCCCTCCCCCTTTCTCTTTTCCTTCCTTTCTTTTTCCTTCCCCTTCCTCTCCTTCCTCCATCCTCCCTCTCTCTTTTTCCTTCCTTCCTTTCTTTCTCCTATTTCCCTTCCTCCTCCTTTTCCTCATCCCCTTCCTCTCCTTCTCATTTCTTCAATCCTTCCTAACTACCTTCCTTCCTCCTTTCTCGCTCCTCTTTCCTTCCTCCCTCCACTCTCCTTCCCTCTCCCCTTCCTTCAGTCCCTTCTTCCCCTTCCTCCTTCTTCTTCCTTCCCCTCCCTCTCCCCCTCTTTCCTTCCTTCCTTTCTCCTATTCCTTCCTTCCTCCTCTTTCTTATCCCCTTCCTCTCCTTCTCACTCATCAATCCTTTCTTCCTCCTGCCCCTTCTTTCCCTTTCTTTCCCCCTCCCTCCTTCCTCGTTCCCCTTCCTCTCCTTCTCTCTCTCTCCTTCCTTCCTCCATCTCCTTCCTTCCTCTCCATCCTCTGACCCTTCCTCCCCTTTTCTTCTCTCTCTCTCCTTTCTTCCTTCCCTCCATCTCCTTTCTTCCTCTCCATCATCTGACCTTCCTCCCCTCTTCTTCTTTCTCTCTCCTTTCTTCCTTCCCTCCCTCCGTCTCCTTCCTTCCTCTCCATCCTCTGACCTTCCTTCCTCCCCTCCTCTCTCTCCTTCCTTCCTTTCTCCCTCTCTCCGTCTTCTTCCTCCCTTCCTCTCCTTCCTCTGACCCGCCTCCCCATCATGTTCACAGTAAAAAATGACCAGCGTTGACCTGCTCTCTCCCCCCCCCTCTTTCCCCTTCCAAGGAGGAGCCCGTCCCTCTGGCCTTCTACGTCCAGGAGTCCGAAATCGTGGCCTCCCTGCAGAAGACCCTGGCCGAACTGACCCTGGAGACGGAGCGGGTGGTTGAGATCATCTACCAGCCCCAGGCCGTCTTCCGGGTGCGAGCAGTGACCCGTTGCACCAGCTCCTTGGAGGGTCACAGCGAGGCCGTGATCTCAGTTGCCTTCAGCCCCACCGGAAAGTAAGAGGAGACGCAGCTTGGAATCGGGGCCCGGGGGCGGGGGGAGTTACGTCCCCAGTTGTGGACATAAATAGAGGCGATCCTCGACTTAACGACCACATTTGAGGCCCAAACTCTCTCCTGCTATCCATCATACACGGCCAACTTTGCTTTTCTGCTCCAAATTGACCCTCCCTTCTTCCCGTCTGCCACTAAGGTGGGTTAAGGGCATTTTGCCCCGTTTTACGGCCATCCTTGCCACCGTTGTTAAGAGAATCACTACGGTTAAGTTGGTTGTTAATTGAATTTGGCTTCCTCGTCAACTTTGCTGGTCAGAAGGTTGCAAAAGGGGAATCACGTGACCGTCATAAATATGAGTCCATTGCCAAGCATCCGAATTTTGATCCTGGGGACGCTGCAGCGGTCGTAAGTGTGAAAAAGTGGTCATAAGTCACATTTTTTTAATGCCATTGTAACTTTGAACAGTTGCAAAATGAACTGTTGTATATACTGTGTGTATACACACCCACAACATACCCAAACAGATACACACACACACACACACACCATGTGGAGTTTCCAAAAGATGACCTAATTAATTTACGAGCCTCGAGACAAAGTTCAAAAGAAATCCATTCATTTATTAGGATCAACATTTTGGCATGTTGGCAACTGTGGCAGGAAAAGTCATAACCATGGGGCAAGCTCCCTTAACAGCTGTCTTGCTTAGCAATGAACATTTCGGGCTCAGTTGTGGTCGTAAGTCGAGGACTACCTATAATAAAAGCAATACAGGGAGTCCTCGCTTAACGACCATTTGTTTAATGACCGAGCTTAAGAGCCCAACAATAGCATGTGTGCGCAGCGCATGTGCCCGAGGTGGACGCCCGGCCCCGTCGCAACATACCAGTTGCGGCTGGATGTAGAACCCACCACTGATCTGTAGGACTTCAGCTTCTAAGTCTGGCCTATCTTGAAGGGCTCACCGGGAGCCTCCGGTTGACTTTTTCCACCCCCCTGAATGGCCACTGGCCACTGCCACACCTTAGCTCTGTCAGCATTAGACTTTGCCTCCCCAGGTACTTGGCCAGCGGCTCTGGGGACACCACCGTCCGCTTCTGGGACCTGAACACGGAGACCCCGCATTTTACAGCCAAGGGTGAGTCTTGACATGCGAAAGGAGGACTGTGTTGGAAACTGCTTCCCAGTCACGGCTGCTGGAAGACGGTTGGACTTCAACTCCCAGAATTCCCCAGCTGGCGTTGAAGTGGCCATCTTTGTTTTTTCAGAAAAGTTTTTTTTTTTTAATTTTTTGTCCTTACTTACAATTAATAGTAGTAATTGGGAGAGGGAGTCCTAGTGGACAAGCATTNGAAGAGCCACCACTGCTAATGAAGCCCCACTCTAGCTCTGGGGATAAAAGGCAGGTGGCAGAGGTGAATAGATGTAGCAGACAAATATTCATCTCCCCTGCCGGACGGACTTCTCTGCCTGCGGTGAGAGAGAGAGAAACTTTTTGCCGGGGCTGCCGGCGCTCCTGATGAATGAATCTTTGAATTAACTTCACGGGGCTTGTGGTGTTTGGGGAGCTGGGTCAGAACAATCGCCTTTGTCTGCTTGCTAGACGCAATCCCAGAATGCCCTGTGCAGTGGGGAAATCTAACATTTTTTTGCCACCGGTTCTGTGGGTGTGGCTTGGTGGGAGGGGAAGAGTCATGTGACTGGGTGGGCGTGGCCAACTTTTTCCCCACTTTATAAAGCATTTTTTCCCCTGCCGGTTCTGGCGAATAGGCGGGAAAGAAAATGCTTTAAAAAGTGGGGCCGGGGGGGGGGGGGGGGGCCTTCCGACGATCGCGCGGCTCCGTATCGGAAGCTCTTTTTTTTAACTACTGGTTCTCAGAACCAAGAACAATCGTCCCCAACCGGTTCGGGCCAAACCGGGAGGATTTCACCCCTGGCCCTGTGCTGACGGACTCCTCCTCCCTGTTTCTAGGCCCAAGAGGAGATGGCGTGGAGGATAGCCAAGATGATCGTCAACGACGTCATGCAGCAGGCACACCCCCCGGAGGCAGCGGTCGAAAAGGTGACTAAGGTAATGGTTGAGCTGCCACAAGAGGGATGGTCCAAGCTTGGCAACTTTTAAGACTCGTGGACTTCAACTCCCGGGCTGGCTGTGGGATCCTGGGAGTGGAAGTCCATCCATCTTAAAGAATCATGGGTTGGGAATTCTGGGGGTGGCTCAGTGGTCAAGACGCTGAGCTTGTTGATCAGAAAGTTTTGTTTATGTAACAAAAAAATTTAAAAAAAAATTATATATATAAAAAAAAAGTTCAGCAGTTCGAATCCCGAGCACCGCATAATGGAGTGAGCTCCCGTGACTTGTCCCAGCTTCTGCCAACCTAGCAGTTCGAAAGCATGTAAAAAATGCAAGTAGAAAAATAGGAACCACATTTGGTGGGAAGGGAACAGCGTTCCATGCGCCTTTGGGGGCGTTGAGTCATGTCGGCCACATGACCACGGAGACGTCTTCGGACAGCGCTGGCTCTTCGGCTTTGAAACGGAGATGAGCACCGCCCCCTAGGGTCAGGAACGACTGTGTGAGGGGAACCAAATTTTTTAACCATCCCTTTTTTTTTCCCCTATATTTTTTCCTCAGCTATGATCTTCAGGAGTTTCTGCCTATGAAGTGAAGCGGAGCCGGATTTCTCCCCCTCCTCCCTGAAGACCCCTTCTCACAGCTGCTCTCCTAGCATCCCACATCCTAATCAGCGGGTGCACACACACACACACACCTTTGTGCTGGGGAAGAAAGAAGGCTTTCCTTTCTCTCTGGAGAGCCAATTGAAGGAAGATTTCCCCCATCGCCTCCTACCAAGGGTTCTCCTTTCTGGACTAGAGTGAGGCACGGAGAACGGAAAAAAATCGCCCCTTAGTTTTCCGAGCTGCGATTTTTTTGTTGTTGTTGATATTGTTGTTATCGCAAACTTTTTTTTTTAAAAAAAAGACATTTGCAATCAGAAAGGCTCAGGGCACCTTCGGTATGTCGGAGAGGGCTTTGCAGTGGGGTGGGGAAAGCGGGGAGCAGTCTGGAACCGTTTTGGAATGATCCTGGAATAATGAAGTATTCCATGAACTGGAATCTGTTCTCCCGCGCATTTTGGGCCAGTTCGGGGAAAAAGAAGGAGTTGGGGACAAAACGATTTTTCCTTCCCTTCTTGCCTTCCAAAAAAACCCCGCGCAACTCCATGCCTCTCCCTCACTCTGCAGAGCAACATTGCTGCCATCTGAGAGAAAAAAAATGCAAGGAAATAATAATAATAAGCAATGAACTTTTGTGTGTTTCCTGTTTATTTTATTTTATTTTTTTTGTCTCCATGAAGGTGAAAACGACGATTGTTTGCCTGTTTTTTAGACGTTCGTTCAGTTTTTGGCTGAATTGTTCCCAGATTCCTGCCTTTCTCACTTCTCCGTTAATGCAATTTGTGGGGTTGGTTTTCCTTTTTCTTTTCCCCTTCTCCCCCTTTTTCCTTTCTACAAATCCGAAACTTCCTCCGATCTCCAGCGCGTGCCACGCGCGAGACGTTTTACAAAAAGTTTGGAATACTTGAGACAAAATCTACTCCCGTCGTGCTTATAGGGTGTTTTTTTTTAAATCCCCTTCTGCTATTTTGTTTCCTGTTGCGATGTTTTTATTCCTTTGCGAAGGTTTTTCTCTTTTCTTTTTTACGTTCCCGTTGGCGTTTGTTTCCTGAAGACTTGTGCAAAAAAGAAAGCAAAAAAAAAAAAAAAGGATTTATGATCTCAAAACTACTTTTAGGAAAGTTTTTTTTTTTTTTGATTTGGTCTCCAGCCCTTGGAAAAGAGGAATGGACTAAACGCACATCACTTTTCTGGTTTCGGCTGGAGCGAGACGCCGTCAAGAAGCGAAATATGTATGAGTTTCTTTGGTACTGTGTACCATCTTATCATCTAATACCCAAGTATTCCAGTACTCAAACCATATTTAATTGTGTTTTGATTGAAATATAAATATATATATATATCTATATATAAATTTGGTACCTGTGTCCGTTTTCTCTGTGTGGTTTTCTTTCTGCTGCATACATTTCGGCTTAATCGGGTGAAATACAATAATACAATAATAAAATAGCAGAGTTGGAAGGGGCCTTGGAGGTCTTCTAGTCCAACCCCCTGCCTAGGCAGGAAACCCTATACCGTTTCAGACAAATGGCTATCCAGCATCTTCTTAGAGACTTCCAGTGTTGGGGCATTCGCAACTTCTGGAGGCAACTTCTGTTCCACTGATTCATTGTTCTCACTGTCAGGAAATTTCTTCTCAGTTCTAAGTTGCTTCTCTCCTTGATTAGTTTCCACCCATTGCTTCTTTTTCTACACTCAGGTGCTTTGGAGAATAGCTTGACTCCCTCTTCTTTGGGGCATTTTTAATCGTCTGAAATAGTTTCCTGCCTAAACAGAGGGTTGGACTAGAAGACTTCCACAGCCCCTTTCAACCCTGTTGCTCTTATTCCTGCATCCTGTTGAAGGGGCTCCCTTCTGGGCCTTCAGAAAGGAGCTGAAATCCCTCCGCAGGCAATTCTTTCAGCCAGACCTGAGACCAAAAGAATAAAATATGCTGAACGTCATGTCCTCCCCCCAACCCCACAGCATCACCAGCAAAGAAGCCATTTTTTCAATGCAATTTCCAGGATTTGGTGTCTCCCCTTAGATCAATAGATGAAAGGTAGCCTGCCTCCTTGCAAACAGCAGGAAAACTGTTACATCTACGCTATGACACAGGTTTCTCTGAAAATTCAGAACAAGTGAGGATCAAGAGGTGAATAAAAGGAAACATGGGCTTGGTAAAATAACAGGAAACGAGAAAGGGAAAAAAAGAAAGGGAAGGAGGGAGGGAGAGAAAAATGAGGGGGAGAAAGAGAAGAAGTGAGAAAGAATGGCGGGAGAAGGACGACAATGGGAGACAAGTGAAAAAGGGGAGGGAGAAAAAGAAAGGGTGGGAGAGGGAAAGAATGGGGAGAAGTGAGAAAAAGAAAGGATGGGGGGAAGGAGGAAAATGGAAGATAGGAAGGAAAGAGTGAAAAAGAAGGGAGAAAAACAAGAAAAGGGTGGGAAGGAGAGGAAAGCGAAGAAGTGAGAAGGAAAAAGGATGGAGAGAAGGAAGAACATGGAAGACAGAGAAAAGAAAGCAAAAAAGAAGGGAGAAAGAAAGAAATATGGGTGGGAAGGAGAGAAAGAAAGGGAAGAAGGGAAAAGGATGGAGAGAAGGAAGAAAATGGAAGACAGAAAGAAAAGAAAGCGAAAAAGAAGGGAGGGAGAAAAAAAAGAAAAAATGAAAAAGAAGGGGGGAGAAAGAAAGAAANGAGAGATGAAAGAAAAAAAGGAAAAAGGGACAGAGAGACAAAAAGGAGAGAGAGAGAAAGTGAAAGAAAACACATGGCCGGCAAGCCACTCCCACCAGGTCACATGGCCAGCAAGCCACTCCCACAAAGGAGGCCACACCCACAGAGTAGGTTCAAAAGTTTTTGAAACCCACCACTGGTGTGTTTGCACAAGAACAGACAGAATAAAGTAACATGCCCATGCAGGTGCAAAGCCACTTATCTGGGACAAATCAGGCACATGAACAATTCTTGTGTGGCTGGCAAGGTCCGGTGGGCCAGGCACAGATAGAGACTCATCCAGTACTCAGTCTCCAGGATGAGGCAATGCACAAATGGAGTGACAGCAGCATCTCTGAAGCAGATGAGGTGCAGGGCAACCAAGGAGCACGCTGGCAACTGTGAAGTCCCCCCTTCCATCCAAGGTGTGACCCCTGCGCTTGGCGGCCAAAGGCCTGTGACCTCCCCCGCCACAGGAGGTGGCCGGGAGAAACATGCCTGTCTTGAATCCGTGCATGCCGGTCGCTCTGGCGCTGCTGCTGCCACTGCCGCTTCGAACCCCACTGAGGATGGCAGACTAGCAGCATGCTGACAATCAGCTGAGAGGCAGGGAGGTGGGGCATCACAGCAACTGACATCCAGGAGGCAAGATCGAGCTGCCAGAAGAACCGCAGGACTACTATTTCTCTCCCTTTATATTTCAATGGTTCATCTCTTGCTCTTTGGAGTATTTCCGCTCTTAGTGCCTTCTTAGAAAATCTCACGTGTACCTCTTGGGGGAGATTATTCCTTCTTGCGTAGCTTGTATGTATTCTAAATATTTCATCCATCCCAGCAAGCATCTCTGCTGGTTCACCTCCAAGGCATCTGCCAGCAGTTCTGCCATTTTCTCAGCAAGATCTTCCCCTTTTTCTTCCCCAGTGTTCTGGAATCTCAGAAAATATTTGGCTTTATCCATCTTCAAAGTAATTACAGTTCTCTCTTGATCCTTGTCTGCCTGTGTGAGCCTATGGTCCATCGCTTCCACTTTTTTCTGTTTGTTCTGATTTCTATTTTCTGGATCCTTCGTTTCATTTTTAGTTATTATTTGTTGGATATTCTCTTTTTTATCATCCATCTTTTGCATTCTATCCTTCATGTCATTGTGGTTTTTTGCTATAGCTTCTTGTAGTAATTGGAACATTGATTTCATTTCTGTTTGAATCATATTCATTTTGTCCTGTTGTAGCATGCTACCTAATGATCTTTGACTTGCTGGACTAGTTGCTGTTGCTGATGTTGCTGCTGATGGTGCAAATGTATTTTCCCACTTTTAAAGAATATACCCAAATCAATCCACCACAAGATCCCCTTTTCTTTCCCCTCTCTTCTTATTCTCAGTGTTCAAGCAACTTCACATTCTGTGCTGTTATAATCCACAAAATCAGTTTATATATTAGTCCAAGGGTTTCTTCAAAAACTGTTCTCTTCTTCTCATAATAAGTTTGCAATCCACAAAGGCCCACCAAACCCCAATGTTCTACCACAAAGGCTTGCAAATCACAAAAAAGGAGAGCTAAAAAGATCTCCCACTTGATCTGAAAGTAAATCCCTGCTGTTTCCCAGTTTCAATTTACTCAGTCTGTTTAGAATCCATATAAGTTCAGAGAGCTACAATGTTTTAAAAGTTACAACGTTTCCACTCTCTTTTTCTGCTATCCAATGTAAACAGTTTGCAGGTGCAGATAACTTGCCTGTTACTTGTAGCAGACAGTCTAATCAACAGAAGACATTCAAGGACATTTCACTTCACTTTCACTTCTAAATGTCTTTCTCCACCTGTAGATGTCGCTATTGCTCTATTTCTCTCATTTTTCTCTCTTTTTGACTTATATCATATTATGCAATCCAAAACCTTTTTAGCGGTTCCAGGGGTCAAAATTTCATATTCCAAAAAGTTTTCAATTCAGTTAATATTGTTGTTGAAATAACCAGTGCAATTTCCCCAGCTTTAAACATATTTTTCTCTCTCAGGCAGTTCTCTTTCCCCTTTTCTGGATCTGTAAACAGCTCTCAAGCTTGCTCTCCACTATTCTTGGGGGGTGGGGGATGGAAAACAAACAGTCCCCCCTCCTCTTTGAATCCCACTTTCATCCAAACAAATTATTAAGGGAGCAAGTTCTTCAACAGAAGTTGGAAAAGTCTCACCCAGATCAGCCACATTGTTCTTTAATCTTTTATAGTTGCTTCATTGGTTGGCTGTCACAGCCTCGGTCAGGCATGCAATGGCTTTCTTTTATTCCCTGCCGGTTTGAGAGCTTCCTCGGGATCAAACAAGGAGTTTGCAGTCTCCTTGTGATCGATGGAGTGTCTTCTCTATCTTTGTCACCCCTCCAGGGTAACCTGGGTCCCAAGGGACCTCCTGGCAGGCAGAATTTTCACAAAGCCCCATGAAACAACACTGTATCGCTGTGACATCGTCCTCATTACTCTTATAGTGCCTTTGAAGTAAACAACAAATCAGCTTTTTGAAGAGTTAACCCTCATCGTAGCTGAAAACATCGATCTTCCACTAGTTCTGGGAACTGCTTGGTTACAACACCATGACCCCACTATTAGGTGGAAAGACTGGCCTATTGCTGTTGAAAATCCTGAATGCCTTTCTCACTGTGATTGGCTTTCTGAAGCCCCGCACCAGCACCCTGTACGCAGAGATTCCCAATCTGCAAAGTAAATACACAGACTTTGCTGATGTGTTCGCGGAGGATCTCCCTCCACACAAAGACTGTGATTGCACCATAAACCTGGTCCCTGTCATCAAAATTCCCACCAAGAGACAATACCAAATGTGTATGACAGAATTAGAAATATTAAAACTATATTTTGACTTAAATTTGCAAAATGGATTCATAAGAGCCTTCCAATCTCCTGCCTCGGCTCCCACCTTCTTCATACCCAGGAAGTAAGACCCCAGTGGGCCTAATGATGGTGAGAAACCCCCTGTCCGGCCTGCATTTATATTCTTTTTGGGATCTTTGGCCTGCCACACTCTCTTTTATTTCACTGTGCTGTTTCATTAGTGTAGTAGTTGGGAGGGGGGAATAGAAAGGAGTNTGTGTTGGCTTTTTTGGCAGCTGCTGCACACGGCTGGCTCCTATTTAAATGATTGTCCACTAGGACTCCAAGATCCCTCTCACAGTTACTACTATATTGTCTTGTGATGCCCAGCATGGCTCTTCGTGCTGTTTGTAGCTTTTGTATCTATTGTGAGGTTATTGTCCATGTTTCACCAGCATATGTTGGGGCACGCTGATTGAAAACTTTTCTCTTCGGGCATAGCGGGAGGCTGTTCTGGAAAATTACACTTAGCTTGTTGAATGCCTGCCAGCCACATTTAACACATTGTTAATTTCCTTTATTGTATTACTTTCCAGGAACGCGGTGACTCTGTGGCTAAGACGCTGAGCTTGTCGATCAGAGAGGTCGGCAGTTCAGTGGTTTGAATCCCTAGCACCGCATAACGGAGTGAGCTCTCGTTAACTGTCCTGGCTTCTGCCAACCTAGCAGTTCAAAAGCATTAAAAATGCAAGTAGAAAAATAGGGACCACCTTTGGTGGGAAGGTCACAGCGTTCCGTGTGTTTAGTCATGCTGGCCACAAGACCACGGAGACGTCTTCAGACAGCGCTGGCTC